AGTTTTAACACTGAAATAAAGCTATAGAATTTTATTTTTCAAAAAATGTTAGTATATATTACCCCATTTTTAAGATTTAATTTGAGCACTAGAGATCTGCTCAGAGTGCACCAGAGAGCATCTAGGCCTAAAAATTCCCGGGGCCCTAGGCGGGCCCTCGACCCACGCCTAAATTGTTTCGTTCCTGTGCAAATCTCCATCCACAGCCAAACTCAAACTTGGCATGTATGATACATACATATGTAGAAATAGGCCTATGTAATGCAAAATGTAATCATCATATGATATTGTGTGTACAATACTAATAGAAACAAAATCAATTCCAAAAATGGCTGAAAAAAGCTGATAAACACGCTTTTTACTTATTATGAGTGATTCAGAAACATTCATCTTGGCTATCACAACATGGACGCCCTATTTCAAACAAGAAATTTTGATTCAGAATCATTCATTTGCTTGGCTTTCACTCAACGGTTAAAAGCACACAATAAAGCAATTGAGCATTAATAGAAGTAATAAATACAGTATTTTACAGCCATAATTATATTTAATATTAAATATTTAGTTATAATTTTATGAGTGATTTATTAATTACATAATGACGATTTGTCATTCAGTGTTTACAATGAATAATGTGTTGTTTCCTATACGTACCGGGTCTCGCCTATTCACATTGCCTGCAGAAATCCCGAGTACTTCTCTCAGTTGTTGAGTGTAGCCGAGATGAGCCATGTGATGTAGAATACAATCACGACGACCAAAGATGTCCTACACAATGAACAAGGAATATGAAAACAGAGAATATACAACACATCATCTCTTTAAAAAAAATATATTTTAGGTCATTATACTTTTTATTGATTTTTTCTATAAAAGTGTAAGATTTATATTCAGTGCACATTGACAACTCGAACGAGTCTAAACATGAATGTGAATTTTCTATTTAAAGCTGTTTTTCAGCAAATTTTATTGGTTCGTGGGCGATTCAGAATCATCCATTTGTTTGGCTTTCAATCAACATGGATGCCCTATGTTTTGTACAAGTTAAAATCACCACCTCCTAAAAAATATTTTTTTTAGCTTATTTAATTTTTTTCGAATTTCTTATTGAAAGTTTAGTTACTATAATCAGTGATCAATACAGATCAAAACAAGATCAAACATGACTATGATTGTTTTATGTAAAACTGATTTTTCAGTAATTTTCAACACCTTTATTTTGGTTGTCAGCTGCTTCTCTTCCTCATTCAAGGCGCAATGACTTGATATTTGCACGACCACCGTGCGGGAAATTTCAACAATAAACAATCAACATTGATCGTAAAATACAATAAAATATCGTATTTATAGTGTGGATGATGATGATTAAATTATGTTTTAAATGTAATAAGCTGTTGTTGTTAGGTAAGAATTGATGTAGAGTGGTGTATGGTATGTTGTGTATAGATGCTGTGTTGTTGTATTTTGTGTGTTGATGTCGTAATTGTAATGATACATAATTCTACTCACCTCGTCCCACACGTAGTCAACTGTTTCTACCGTCGCTGATTTTAAACTCTCACTGATGACATCACGTGGTGGGATGCACCACACAATCGGATATAATAACGGGAAGATGTCCTACGAAAACAACAAAATACGATGATAACAAAACACATTCAACTATCACACATACACAAAATATCACATATAAATTATATTAATTACATTAAATAATCACGATCAATTAAATATTCAAATATTATTACAAATTAACTAACTTTTTAAAGCTAATCGTTTAAAAATCGTAAATTTTATAATTTTTTTTCTGAACGCTTTTCCCTATTCTTTTGCATTGAAAAATTTTATGTTAATTTAGGGTTTTGTTCAGATCATAATTTTTTAGGAATTTTGTATTTTTAACACTCTAGATATATTTCTTTTGTATAAAGGTTTGAAAAGAATACAGACAATGATATGTTCTGGCTGTTTTTGCAGATTCAGGGCAGCGCTGTCCCCTATTCCTGTAGCCGGAGGGTCATGGTGATGTCTTTCCCGATCCTGACTCCACACCCACCAATAAGATTCAATAAGATTCATTAAGATTCAATAAATTCAATATGATCCATTAGATTTAAGTTATTTGAATATGTCTCTTTGGAGTTCTTTGTTAGTTTACTTTTTTCTTTATTCCTCTCTGAAATTGTACCTTGATCAATCACTTGAATTTCATTTGTACCCTGTTGTTCAAATGACAATAAAGAATATCGTATCGTATCGTATTCATATTTAAACAGTTCAATTGTGGATTCAAATATATTTTCTGGAACAATGACGTTATCAAGAATGTCTTTTTTTTTTGTTTTGAATTATAGTAAATATACCTCTAAATGTATCGCTACCATTTAGCATACTAATTCGCTATTTTCACAGAAGTCAAGTAAGCTTTGCCCTTAAAAATTAATGTTTCTATACCCATTATTGGACTCAAATGATCCAGTTTTGCGAGAAAAAAAAAAAGTTGTTTGAC